CCCTACAGCTGCTTGCACAAGAAGTCACTTCAATATTTTGGATGGGACTTCCTGGAAATGCCTAGCAACTAGATAAAACATCACATACAATATCCTTTATTTTGGGTCGTATTCCTGGGAAAATAGCAGATATGTTTCCAGATGCCCCAGTTCATATATTGTCATTTACTATCTCAAACTGTCTTCTCACAGGAATGGAGAGCAACATCAGGATTTGGAAATGTGCAACTCTCTGTAAATATATTAAAGCTACATCTTCACTGAGCAATGGTTGGGTTGCAAGCATGATAATTCAGCATGGAGACCAACTTTGTGACACCAGAGTCTTATTTTTTGTCACAGTTTATGCTGAGGATGCTTTGGCAGCCAGTCAGCTGAAACTTTCCATGCCTGACCACCCCTGACACTGTGGACACCTCCCTGTTACCTCTACTTCAGATTCCCAGACGTGTTGCTTCAGACAGTTCTGTTCCTTTCTCAGCTCCCCCAGCATCTTGTACAGATGTAGCACGTTTTTGTGTTTCTCAGAGGACCATGGCTGGAAGCAGAGAAACTAGTGAAAACCAGCAGCACTATCTGGATGCATGAGAGCAGGTACTCTGCTGACAGAAATTGGCACAGTTCTATTACAGTCAATAGGGCAACACTGGTTTCCATCACTGAAACACTGAACCCATGGTCAGCATGGGCTTATTAAACTTCATTTCGATTTGGAATCCATCAGTAATGTGAGCCAGATGGCACATCTTGCACTTTGCTGATGGTGCTGTCCTATGGCTGGAATCAGTTTTGCAGTGCTAGAGATGAAAAAATAGGAGTCCAGCAATTGTGTTCTGTGTATGCTCCCCAAAGAGGAATAAAAATCAAAAAACCCAGCTTGCATAACATTAAAAAAATCCTGTATTTGCAATCTCTCTCTGCTTTTCCTGAGTGTAATTGTGCAGCATCACTGCAGAGTTTACTGGCAGACATCTGCCCCTGGTTACAGACTCACATCAATGATGTTAGCGAAGTGACCCTCGGCCTCTAATGAGATAATTTGCCTTAATGGCAGCACTTCACTTTTTGGGGAATATCTTTTATTTAAGGCTATCTATCTATCTATCTATCTATCTATCTATCTATCTATCTATCTATCTATCTAATCTGTCTACCTACCTACCTATGAGCAATGCATTAAGCATCTGCAGAGTAAACACTGAAATTTCAGGAATAATGGGACCCACGAAGTCCATGTCAGAAACAGAGCTAGAACCCAAGGTGTCTGCCTCTGCTGCTCTGCTCTTTCTCTTCTTGAAGAGGAAATTTCAGACTCCCTGCCATGAAGACCAACAGCTGCTGAACATGCTGTGGGATCTGCCTGATGAGCAAGTCTGGAAAGATGACCTCAGGCATGGTTAGAGCAAGCCTGTCACACAACACTATGTCCTGCACGCTCAGTAACTCCCAGCACAGCACTGCATCTCCAGCACTCTTTGTGTGTCAGCCTGGAGGCAATGTGGGGAGGATGTGCAGATGGAGCAGAGGGGCAGTGTGGCATATGTCATGCTTATAATTCTTCCACTGACATTTCATCTTCCTTTTGTGTCTTATGATCTAGAAACACTTCAAGATAAGAGCAGTTTTTCTTCATACCTGGTATTTGACACACATATCTTCGGTCAGGAAGATTTCCTCTCCTTTCCTATCCCTCTGTGTTGCTTTGAAGAAAACCACCTTTGAGGCAATGATGTCATGGTCCTCGAGGTAATGTGTCAGCTGGATACTCTCATCTGTGATCATAAAGATACGTTCCTCTACATCTTCATCAGCAGGCTTTTCTGGATTTCTGTGAAAATATTCCTTGATTTGCTAATGGAGAGTGAAAAAAAAAGATATGGAAGCAGCTTAGACAACACAAAACTGGAAAGATTTACAGAACTGGGTAAAAAATCAGCGTATAAATTGTGCTTTTCTGCCTGAACTATGATGGCATCTCTTGGCCAAAGGTCCTACTGTTCCTGCCTATGCCTAAAAAAACCCAACCAACCAACCAACCACAAAGATGCTTAATGTAATACAGAAGACTCCTATTTGTGGAGCTGAGTATGCTCTCCAACCTCTAAGTTAGCTTGGGATGCATCCCTGCCTGAGGGAACTGCAGGAAGAAATGCATTTTGGAGCACAGCAAAGTTGCCTGCATTTCCCAGCATAAGGAAGGACAAAGGACCATGTTGGGTGCTGGTCCAAAGGCAGACCACTGCGTGGCTTTGTCTTGGCAGGTGAAGTGTCTGAGCCATACATGTCAGATTTCCTCTTTCTTCTGCTCTGCAAATCAGACCTGACAAGAGGTAATTCCCTGCTTATAACAAACCAGAGTGGTGGGACACTTCATCAGGAACCTAAAACAACATTAATTTGGGATCAGCACACAAAATCATTTTGCTAGTTTTGAATCCTTTGAAAATTTAATTCCAAAATCATAGTCAAGCCTGTTTTCCTTTCCTCTGACACACACTTTCCAAGCCTTAGTTTCCTAGTTTCACTCTAGCTGCTCAACACAGTTCGTGACAACTGGTCACAGTGTAGCTCTCTGTCAAGCAAGCAGCTGTGAGACACAGCAGCTGAACAAGGCTTGGATGTCTCATCTGGAGTTTTGCCTGCGCCATGCCCACTGAAAATGAACTAAAGCCCCAGGCACTGTTTTTTGCATAGTATAAATGCCACAGTGACACATATTTTTCTGTTCCTGCCTTGGCCTTACCACTACAGGCCTGAAGCCAGGGTCTGTTCTGGTGCCAGCCACATCCATTTTCTTTTCTCTTTTTCCAAGCTCCATGTGCCGGGTGTGCAGGAAGTCATCCCTCCCCACGAAGTATTCTGTCATCCCAGTAGCACTTTCAACAAGTTTCCAGAGGTCATCAGCTCGTGCCTCATGGTAAAACTCCATTGTGTGTCCAGTCTCTGGTTCCAGCGATGTGTAGGTGTGAGCTAAGGACATATCATATATGTTTTCAGAGTTAGCAACCATAATATGCTGAACACAAGTGTGTCCAGTGGAAGTCTCATTTTCTTCAGCAGACAAGAAATCAAATGCACGAGTGTAAGAAGGGAATGTTATCTCCTCACTGCTATGTACCAATATTCCATGGCCTAAGGATGGCAGGACAGCTTTGCAGGGCTGCTGCCTTCCTGACACAGTAATGCAGTAGGGAATGGAGCCTGGACCCTGCTCTTCCCAAGCCAGGAATGGCCACAGCCTCTTTGGGTGAAAATGCTGCTTTAGCAACAGATCTGGTACAGGACTTTCCCCCAGCTGCACAACACTGAGGGACCAAACATAATCCTGAAGAGAAAGTTCTATCACCTCTACTGGTACAAGTACATTGTATCACCCTTATATACATGATAGTTATGTATTTGTCTAATACATAGAAAAATATATAACTAGGTGAGCAGTGTCCAGAACTGGAAGCCAACAACCCAATTCTCCACTCTCCACTGGAGACTGTATTATTTATCTAGGCAATTTATTCTACAAATTTTCCCCCCACTGTCCAATTTTGGGCTTTTGCCACTGCTAGAAGGGATTCACATGAAGTCTCATCAGCTGCAGTGGCTGTCCAGGTGAGCTGGAATACCTTTGAGATGGAGAGAGTGTCCTTGGCTGAAATAGTCTGTGGTCAGCTGTGTTTGTTTATTCACTTCTCTCATATCCAACATGTCTGCTCGGTTTTTGAACCACTCCCTCACCTCCACGACTTCAGTACCTGGCAGGAGACAAGTAATTTAGCAACTTTATGTCCCCCTGTTGGAGGTGGTAAAATACATCTGATGAGCTTTCAGTGTCAGTGCAAGCACCGTGTCCTCCCAATACAGCTGCAGCAGAGTCAGTATGGTCATTGGAACTGGCCCCGTGCACAGGAATGTTTTGTAGATCAATCCTAATCTACATGTGTGTAGATTAATTATTCCTTAAGAGGGTTTATTCCTCTCCATCAAGCAGTAATCAGTGGTAGCACTTGGTACAACAGATGGCTACTGTTAGGCAAGAGAAATTCCATCCCAAATACTTAAATGTCAGGAGCAAAAGGAAATGAGATTGGAGCATCACACTTTCCAAGAGGACTGAGGGCGGGACACTGTATGGCCAGTTGGCAATCTATATGGTTCCTTGGACCAGCTGTTGAAGACTAATGCCATCAAGTACAGAAATATCCTCACTTCATAGCTGTCCCTTTCTATGGCTCCTATTGGCACCAATGGGAATAGTGGTACTACTGGATCGAATCAAACCAGCCTTTCATTTCTCCAAAGATTGAAAATCCAAGCAGCTGACTAGTGACACCAAACAGCTTCACTGGGGCATAAAACAGTTTCAGACTCATGGAAACCCTTAGCAATGCTGGAAAGTTCTGGGCCTTGACACACAGTGAGTGTAATGACTCATTTGAGGATGCGGTAGGTAAGTCCCCACAAAGGTGACAAGAAAGGCTGACAAAGATGAGATGAGAGGATGAGAAGAGGATAAGAAAGAGGATGAGAAAAGAGGATCTCAAAGTGGGTGAGAAAGCACAAGAAAGACTAGCAGAATGGGGACCACCTCCCCCTGTCCATCAGCATGCCCCAGGATGTTTACTCATCCCTCTTACAGTCCAAGTCTCTGTAGATGGTGAGTCGTTCCACCAGCCCATTTTCATTCACACGTGGTGCCCATTTCTCCAGTTTTGCTTTCTTGTACAGGATCACCTTCTTCCCTTGGCAATAGAAGTTCTCGTACTCTGCAGTGGGCAAGAGAGATGTCAGAAAAATTGACTCCCTTGTACCCAGCCCAAGAAAAAAGAATTCAAGAGGGAGAAAACCACGGTTTAAGGGACACCAAACACTTACTGATTATGTTCTGCTGCCAATAAAGCTGTTCAAACCCTGCCTGTTGTGCTTTAATGTTACAGTGGTGTAATAACTCTTTTCTCTCTCAAAGCAGGTATTTGATAATGCAGGGGCAGCCCCTTGTGCATAGCAGTAACAGAAGGTCCATCCCAGGCAAAATTCCCAGCTGGCAGGAAAACACAGTGTGGGTGTGTGTCTGTGGTGGGGTTCCCACCTGGGAATAGACAGTGAGGCCATTCAAACCAATAGCTGTTGTTGCCTTCATCTATTGCACTTCACTGCTACACCCTGACCATCCTGAAGGGAGAACTCTTGAGTGGGAAAAACAAATGTCCCAAATGCACTGAAAGGTTAGCTGGGGGCAAGCAAAAGCCAAAGGGAGAATACATACCTTTGGAAGATAGTTCAATTTGGGCTACCCATGACTGTGGCATGTCAAAACTCAGGTCTCTCGCCTCCTTTTCCTGATGAAACAGAAGCAGAGATTTGTGGTTTTGGCAGCTTCTCTTACTGTGCCAGGAGGCATTTTGCTTCTAGAGAGTGCAGCACAGTGATCAGAGCTCAGCTCGTGTGAGGCTGTGCTGTTCCCGAGGAACACAGTGGCACAGCCATGAGAGCACATCCTTACTCAAGCCTAAGAAAGTGATCTCCTGGCTACTGCTTGTGCTGGACAGGGGATGAATGTGACAATCACCATAATGACCAGCTTAGGTTGTGTACACCATGGAGGAAACTTTGCTCCCCTGTTATGGGCACAGGCTGAGAAGAGTAGATAGCAGGAGGGAATTGTTATTGGCATTCCTCCATCCTACTGTGCTGTTGCAATGCCTGTTTTATCACACTGTCTTGTCACAACAGAACATACTATTTTTTAGCTTCCAGTACACAGCATTTTTTGGTATATTAGAGGACATACATTATTTCTACATTTGGCTGGCAACTCCACCTTACAGCCAGGAGGGCA